ATGAGTCTCACAACAGCCTTGTGACTTTAATGGTAAGCTCCTTGAGGGCAGGTACTTCTGCACTCTAGTCTTTGTATTCTCAACACTACATACAGTAGGTGTTTGTTGAGTTGATAATGCTTGTTGAGTTGAAGAAAAGCATTATCATCTCCATTTTATAGATGAGGAAACTGAGACTCACAAAGACTACATAACGTGCCCATGGCCCCATAGCTAGGAAATGTCAGAGGCAGAATTGGAATCCAGTTCTAAGTTGGACACTTTATCCACTGCATCAAGCCTGTCTCTCTTTGTAGTGGAGCTAACCATTTTCTTCCTATTTAAACTTCACCAGAATTGCAGAAACAGCTGATCACTGTCTTCCTTATCATCAGTTCCCCAAGATTTGAAGATTATGTTTTTTTTTAAACCACCATGTTTTCTCTACTCTGTTTTTTCTCTCAAGGTTCTCTTTAGAGCCTTCTCATTGTCTTGGCTACTCTTCACTGCCCTCTTGCCATACTTTTTCCCCCTCCCCGAAGCACACATCTCCAATCTGACTAGAACACTCCGAGCCAAGGTTCTGACCAACATCAAACGAAATGGATTTGGGGTCATCTTTGGGCGGAGAAGATGGATGGCTACTCCGATGCCCAACACCCCAACGAGCTAGAAGCTCAGCACATGACACAGGAGTCAGCAGTGACTGCTCTGCTTTGCATGCCCCACCTGGCAGGCTCACCTGGGACCTGAGCAAGAGTGCAGCTTCACCCCCTTTCTAAGTAGGAATTTGCTGGCTGTCCGTTGACGCTGGGAGTTAATATTTCCATCACTGTACTTAGGAATTAATTTCGAGAGAACGTAATCACCACCTCTCTCCTCGTCTCTCACCCCTTTCCCTTCTCCCTTCCTCTCCCTTCTAATTTTCCACTTGGCTGGGGATTCTCCTTCAGTGAAAGTTCAGATTTAGGGGAGGGCCAAGGGAGCTGCTTCATTAGAGAGGATAATCTCATTGGAACCACTGACTTGAATAATAACACCTTCAGTAGGGCCCAGGAGCCTGGTTTCCTGGAGGTTTTTAAGCACCTTGGACTACGGGGCTAGGAAGAGCTGAGAGGCAGGAGAAGGCAGAGCAAGGCGAAGGAGGGAAAGAGAACCTCAGTGAGTAGCAAGTCTAAGTAGTGTTGCCTCTGCGTCTAGGGCCCCGAAGGGGTCTTTTCTCTGGTGCCTGCTCTCTCAATTACTATTAGCTAGTGTGATTGGGATATACATGTGTAGATTTGATGTTATTTCGGAAAGCTTTTTGGAGTCTCTCTGAGCCTTGGTTCCCCCGCCTAGAAAATGGGTAGATTAATCTCCTCCCTTGCCCCCACCTGGCCTCCCACAGTGGAGGAAATTACCTTAGGGAAGCAGCTGGAGCTCCTTGAGGAAAAAAAATGACTTTTTTAAAAGCACCTCAAAATCATGAATGAACCCTTTCCACATTCCCTAGCTCTCACTCAAAGGATTCAGAATTAATTTTCCTTGGTAAGCCCGTGTGTTTAGCATCTTGACAGACGCCTTAAGATATCAGAAAGGATCCATTCTTCCTACTTCATTATCACATCACACTTAAGGTCAATTGTCTGTACTTCTCAACACTTCTGACCTCCCCTTTTATAGGCTCCTGAGAGAGAGTGGAAATGTCAAAACATGCCTGGAACTGACCTTAAACCTGATATTCTTCTACTTGGGTAGCTTGCTTCCCTGTGCCTCTCTTGGACTCCTAATAAGGAATCTGAAAGGCTATTCATAGACGCTGCTAATGCCTCTCTTCCTCCCCCTGTCCTCTCCTTTTCTCTCTGTCTCTGGAGTTTACCATCTCTCTGGACAAAAAGAAGAGAACTCTCACTAGTTCTTCCCTACCTCCCCTCTCTAGGCTGGGTGGAAAGTTTGGCTTTGTTCTGGGTTCTGACTTAGAATTGAGGAAAGCAGGGAATTGACCAATGCTTGAGGCTGTAGATTAGCATGAATGGCTGGCTGGCTGGCTGGCTGGCTGGATGGATGAAAAAGCATTTATTAAGTGCTTACTACGTGCAGAGTACTGTGGTAAATGCTGGGGATACACATAGAAAGGCAAGAAGGTCCCTGCTCTCAAAGAGCTCTCATTCTAACAGAGGGAGAGTAAGACATGTAGGAGGATTGAGCTACAAGTTGGATGGCAGGTTCCTTAGGTCCTTCAGATACAGATGCAAAGCATATAGTAATGCAACTTTTGTAATGTCATTTCCATGAATAAAACCCTATCTATTTCTGTTGTTGAACCACTTGAAAGGGCAGAGGACCCTAATGACAGCAGCAACTTCCAAGGGGAGCTCAGAGGGTTCTTGGGTAGTTCATTTTGTGGAGAAGAAGCTGGACTAAGTAAAGTTCCCCCTCCCCAAATTCCCTTACAGACCATTGGACTAGTAAAGAATAGGACAGCGCTAGGACCTACTAAGAGAATACCCGTGAACCTCTTGAGGGAGAAAATAAGAGGATACCAGTGGCTCCTCTCTTTTGATCTTGATGCTCATTTTACCATTTGGGTTGATGTTAGGTCCAGGAGTAGCTCCATTTTCTCTCTTCACGATTTAATCAGAGACACTTTGCAGACCAGTTTATTGCACTTGGAAATGGGAACTTCAAAGTTGGGGAGTCAGTGAATAATTTAAAGCCACACCGGCTCTCCTGGGCTCACTGTTAATGGGCATAATAACACTATTAATAGCAACGTCAGCTGCAGACACCCTGGAAAAGTCCATAATATCAGCTTAATGGCTAAAGGTAATGGAGTTCTCTGGACAGGAGCTGGCCTGTTAAATTAACTCCACAGACTTTTAGGCAGTCAGTGTTGCCTCTATCAATCTGCTAGACAATGTACTTCAGGTGTCAGTGTTAAGATCCGACCTTTCATCTTCTGGGCAGGAAGGCCTAGCAGAGGCTTTGGTGTAACCTGGAAGACTCCTCCTTCAAAAAGCCACAGTGATCCTCAAAAGACTGCAAAACAGTGTTTGGGAGGAAAAGTAATTGGAACGATTTAGGCTGGGAAAGAGAAGATATCAAAGCAGGTTTCGTGAGCAGGAAGGGCTAATGTATGTAGGTCAGAGCAGAGGAAAATGGACTGCAATTGCAACAAGGGGATTTGCCACCTACCTTCCAATCAAGAAACTTCAGCATGATTGTTTTTCCTCTTCATTGTCCTTCATTCTACACATCCAGTTTATTGCTAAGTGTTCTTGCCCCAACTTTCACATCATATCCTGAATATGCCTATTTTCTTCTATCCTCTTAGTGTCAATTTTAGTATCTAATTCTCCAGGCTCCCTACTTCTCCGTAGACCTCCACATTGAGGCCAGGGTTGCCTTCAATAGCCTGTGTAGCCTGTCTCCCAGCTATTTTAAATGGAGAATTCCTGAACCACCATAGATTAGGGCTGAAATCCTCACCATCTATTTCAAAGCCCTTCCCAGTTTGGTGTGGGCTCCAAAGTGGCACAGTGAAAAATGTATAAAATCAACATTGAATTTGCAGTCAGAAGACCTGTTTTCAAATTTTAGTCCTATCACTACCTGTGTGACCTTAGGCAAGTTACTTAACGTTTCTTAGCCTCAGTTTTTCCATCAATAAAATGAGAGGTTTGGATTGGTTGAGCTCTACAATCCTTTATAATTTTAAATCTTGTAATCATGGTCAAGACCCTCATCCTATCCCTTCTATCCTTCTAGGAAAATACACTCATTCAATTATCCCACCAAAGATACTGGAACATAATTCTAATGTGAAACATTCCCCCAGGCCACATCTTGAAAGCACCTCTCCTGACAAACTGACTAGGCTCTCTGCTACCTCTTCTTAAAAAGCTTCCCCCAGCTAATTAAAAGAGAGTAGATGATTCCTCCCAATCCCTTTCCCTCTCCTTGTATAGTGCTAAGGCCTCCTCTCACCATTTGTGAGATTACTGTGCTGCTTTTCCTGCTGTTGATGAATTGTGTCTGACTCTTTGTGAGCCCGTTTGGGATTTTCTTGGCAAGGATACTGGAGTGGTTCACTATTTCCTTCTCCAGATCATTTTACCGGTGAGGAAACTAAGGCAAACAGGGTTAAGGGACTTGGGCAGGGTCACACATCTACTAAGTGTCTGAGGACAGATTTGAACTCAGGAAGATGAATGTTCCTGACTCCAGGCCTGGCACTCTATCCATTGTGCCACTAACCTACCCTGTGTTGCTTATACCTAACGAAAACATGACAGAATCCCACTTTAAATGGATTTGTATAGGTGTGACAAAATGAGAAGAGTGGGGAGAAAATGCTAGACAGAGTCAGAAGACCTAAATTTTACTCCTGGCTCTGTTCTTTCCAATTAATATATGATTACTATATTAATATATGAGCTTGAGCAAGAGTTTCTCCGTAAGATGGGTAAAATAATACACTATCTACATCAAAAGACTGTTGTATGGATGTAACAAGTATGTGGAAAAGGCTTCGTCAACAAAAAAAACACTATCTAAATGTAAGGTAATATTACCATTTTTTATATACTGAGATCAAACCACCTCCCCTAAAATACAGTAAATCCCTAGTCATATTAGCCTAATATAATGCAGACTCTAAAATGGTGAGAGCCTTGTTTACAGCACCAACATAATAAACAGCTCCCCCATGTATTATTTATTCATTTGTGCAATGCTCATTCATTCTTCTGTGGAGCCTTAATATGACTTCATCACTGTTATCCGTCTCGGAGGGATGGGTCTTCATCTGTTTAACTTGCCTCGGACAATACCTTGTGCGCTACCGCACGCAGATGGGCATCAGACATGTACTTTAGTGAGCGTTATAATTATATTATAAACACTACATAGATTTTCATTTATCTTCGCCCTTCAGCAGTCCCCACTTGTCATACCCTCTGCAAAGCCCCAATCTACCAAGAAATTTGGACTCCTTTCCTTCTGTCATATTAAGTTGCCCACTGCTTTGTGTCTCTCCCCAGATGTACCAGGAAGGAGCGGTGTGAGAGATCCAGGGAACCTCGCAGGTTTGCCTCCGAGATGAAGCAGTGTGTCCGTCTGACGGTGCATCCTAACAACATCTCTGTCTCACAGTACAATGTACTGGTAAGGAAGGGCCAAGGAACTTGGAGGAGGGAATCTGGAGAGTTTTTCTTAAAATCTTGGTCTTCAAAGAGAAATTTCAGCGTAGGATAGCTCCAAAAGACTTAACTCTAAACATGGCCACCAAGCAACAAGACTCGCTCTTAGCCAAACTTATCTCACCTAATGTATTGAACAATGCTTCACAGAGAGCTCTTAAAAAACCTTTGTGAATCAACTAAATGAATGAATGTTGAATAGAAGCAGCATTATCTAGAGTGTGGTCTAGAGTCTTCAGGGGGCCAGTGAAGGAAAACTAAAGAGTGAGTGCCCATACTACAATATGGGAACCACCAAAATTCTCATTAAAGGTAGGACAGTGGTTTCCTCCTCAAGGGATACAGTATGTAGGAGATGGAGGAGAAGGTGGTGGTGGTTCAATAGGGATGGGGAAGGAGTGACTATAAGTGTCAGGCAATAGTACCTTACCCCTTCTTTGTTCATTTTTCCTGAGGATCAGGCTTCTTACTGGGGCTCCAATTCCCAAGGGTTAAGTTCTATTCCATAGATTTTAGGTTCTTAATACACTTCTCTCTCTTACTCTGTCCCTTTTTGCCCTACTCCTCTTTCTACATTCCTTGTTGTTGTTTTTTCCCTCTCTTGGTTTGATTGCATATTCTTTCTTCTCTTTATCTCTTTTCCATTTTCTCTTCTATTCCCCTCTCTTCTCTTTCCCTCCTTTCATCCATTTTAATTTTTTATCTCCTCTTTTTTCTCCTACCTGTTTTCCACTTTCATTTTCTCCTTCTATTCTCATTTCTCTACCTTTTTTCTATTTTCTTTCTCACTTTTTTCTTTTTACCTCTCCTCTCTTTTCCATTTTCCTTTTCTTTCTTCTTATCTTTCCCTATCCCTTCTGCATTCACAGTTGGTCTTGGAGACCTATAATGTCCCAGAACTGTCAGCTGGTGTCAATTGTACCTTTGAGGACCTATCTGAGATGGACGGCCTAGTGATGGGCAACAAGATCCAATGCTATTCCCCTAAAGCTAAGGAAGTGCCTCAGATCATCACTGAGAATGGTGAGTGACTTCTAACATGGCTTCCATCTATATACACTACCCCCTCTCAGCCAGGCCTGGCAGGAGAAACTGGGGTACTTCTCTTTTCCCAAGCTGGGGGAAAATGGAAGCCAGTAAAAAGAGCCTGATGGGATGGGTGTGGTAAGAGAGAGAATAAGGTGTCCTTCCATGACTGTATAAATCTGAGCCTGGGAACCTCCCTACCTTTGGCCCCTCTTTTGTAGTCAAAACCAGTGCTTGTGACTGAGTGAGGACCTTTATACTCAGTAGAGTTATGAGACGAAAGGAATCAGGGAAAGTATTCTAGGATATAGCTTGGAGTGGATATAGGGAAGCGCAAAATCAGGACCTGGAAAAATCATGGCAAATGGCAGCCTGAGTATAGGGCTAAGATTTTGGGGCTTGGTACTAGTGTCAGTCTTCTCTGCCTTCTGTCTGTACAACTGGGCAGTTACTCCCAGGGATACCCCTTACACTGCATCCCTTACAGAACTGCGCCACTGCCTATTATCAGCCAACAGTGCAAGGGACCAGGAAGGAGGGGAAGAAGGGATTGGAAAGAGCATCTCTCAAAGCTAGCAATGGATAAAACTGACCTGGGCAAATTAATTCCATGTTGTCCCTCCCATTTAGACTTGTCAAGTTTCCTTTATGCTGATTGATTAATGAGGCTCTTTGGGAAGGAGGAGAATCTGGGGTTGAGGGGGAGGGCCCCAGGGTCATCTCTGTGAATTAAACATGGGTTCCACTTCTGGCAATGGCACCAGCTGATGATTTTCTATGATTCCTGTTCCAGACAGAACCCTCAGTCCAGGGACATTAGGAGGGGATGGTGGGAAAGGATCTATGTTCATAGATATTTTGTGTGTATATATGTATATGAATTCAAGTATGTGTAAAAAAAATAAACTTTTTGCTTTCTTATAGTAGAGCACACCCACTAAAGTTCTATTCTGATGCATCATCATGAGCCAGGGTTCTCAAAGGCTATGGCTGCAAAACATACCATGGTCTGTACATTGTGGTATAGTGAAAAGATTATTAGCTCTCTAGTCATAGGACCTAGGTTCAAATTCTATTAATGATGCTTACTAGCTGTGTGACCTTGAGCAAGTCTCTTAACCTCCCTGGGCCTCATCTTCCTCATTTGCCAGATGAGGATGGGGAACAAGTGGACTGCATAGCCTCTGGGGTCCCCTCCAGATTTAGATCTCTATTTCAAGCCCAAAAGTCTTATGATCATAAATTTCGAGGGATTTTTGAGGGAAGCTTTGAGTATGGCAAAGCCAGGTGGAGTCACAGTGCATAGAGTACCAGGCCTGGAATCAGGAAGACTCCTCTTCCTGTGTTCATATCCGGCCTCAGACACATACTAGCTATGTGACCCTGGGCAAGTACTTAACCCTGTTTGCCTCAGTCTCCTCATCTGTAACATGAGCTAGAGAAGGAAATGGCAAACCACTCCTGTATTTCTACCAAGAAAACCCCAGAAGGGGTCACAAAGAGTCAGACATGACTAAAAATGACTGAACAAAAAAAAATTGAGTACGAGATTAGGGATGGATTCACTATTTGTCGTCTGAGCTCCTGCCTAGCTAAGTTAGATGACGTCATTGGGATATAGGGTAATGATGGAATTTTTGTTTGGTTTTTGTTTTTCTTTTTGTCAGAGCTACTCTCAAAGGTCATGCTTAGATTACAGAGTAGGGGTTCTTACCTTCTTTTGTGACATGGACTGTCCCCCCACTTTGGAAATCTGGTGAATCCTATGGACCCCTTCTCAAAGTAATGTGTTTTAAATAATTCATGGAAAGGCTAAATTTCAGGCAGGAATTAATGAAAATAAAGATGTATTTCCCCCTCCAATTCATACACCCCCTGAAATCTGTCTATGGACCCCCACCCTTATTATAGAAAAAGGAGGATCTGCTTTTAGTGAAGGGATTGACTCTACTGACAAACTGCCAGGTCCTTGACGTGTTAGGGTATTTTGAAGTTTCTCATGGCAACTGTGAGATTGCACACCTTCATCCATTTGGATCAAGTCCGTGTCTAAATGAATCAGAAGTGTCCCCGTATCTCTCTGTGTGTATATCTACGTGGAGAAATGTGTGATCCCTTTGGTAGATCTGTGGTCACTGTGTATATGTCTACAGTGCTATGATGTGCATATAAATATATTTGTGTGTGTTATTGTGTTTCTTTGTACACATATGGGGGCAAACAAGCTTCTAGACCATCTAGAATCAAAGGAGGAGATTAAATAAAAACAGAAATAGAGTTTTGAAGCTGTCCTTGGGAAGGTCGTTACCCACAGAATGAATGAAAGAACCTGAGTTGTATAAATGGCCCTAAAATGATTTGACTTTTATAGGGTTTATTCCCTGAGAGCTCATTGAGACCCCACCTCTATCAATAAAGGTAGAATCCAGCTTCAGAATATACCTGTATTTCATGCCATGATTGGTTGAGAAGATTTAAAGGGCCCCAGCCTTCCTGTCTTACTCTAGGCTGACTCTTCCCTTCCCAGGGGACCACCACATTGTTCAACTGCAACTCAAGTCTAAGGAGACAGGCATGACCTTTGCCAGCACCAGTTTTGTCTTCTACAACTGCAGCGTCCACAATTCGTAAGTTTCTCTCCAGCACTTCCCACCCTACTTCATTTTCTTTTCCCTTTGGGGAGGGGGGTTTGGTGAGAGAGGAGTGTGAGAGAGGAGGAAGGAGGGAGAGCCATGCACAGAGATCCATTCCTGGTTGTGGGAGAAGGTAGGAGTGGTGTTCCAAATCAGAGAGACCTCCTCTGCCACTTATTGAGTTAAGGGAGGTCCTCATCAACTGACTTCCACTATCCCCTGTGTAGGACTATAGAAAGCGAGAAATAACTGGATGAGGATCTCTAAGCTGCAGTATCATAGGAAGTCAGAGCTTGGCTAGTATAATTCTTCCTACTTGCTTTTCAGAAACGATGTAGGAGGCATCATAGTCAGTGGAAAGAGCACTGGATTTGATGCCAGAGGCCACAGATTCAAATCTCTGCTCTACCATTGACTGTGTGACCGTGGGCAAGTCATTTAACCTCTATGGGGGAAAAGTGGCTCTTCTGTAAGATGAGGGAGCTGGACTGGATGGCTTTGAAGGTCTATTACCCTAACAGTCCAATTGTGATTAGATGATGGAAATAGTAAAGGGAACTTTCTATTCTTATAAACACCCAAAACAATAGCATTAGATATCATTCATTCGAACCCAGAGAATGGAAGAAGCTTTCTTTTGGATTTAAAGTGTCCTACTAATATCCCTCTCCTCTTCTTTTTTGTCTCCGTTCAGGTGCCTGTCCTGTGTGGAGAGCCCCTATCGCTGCCACTGGTGCAAATACCGCCATGTCTGTACTCATGACCCCCAGACCTGCTCCTTCCAGGAGGGCCGAGTGAAGCTTCCTGAGGTAGGGCACCTTCAGGCAGCATAATGAGTGGTGGGTCGCAGGGGAAGCGTGAGACAAGCAAAACAAAACGGTCAGGGCTTTGCCCCTCCCTGAGCATCAATGGCCAACCAGTTCTGAGATGATGATGTCTCATGACCTGGTGCAGAAAAATCAAAAAGCAAGCATGTAGTGTTCTGCCCCTAAACTCAACCTGGCTCTCTTCTGGTCTGGGGAGGTTCAATTACACACAAATTCCACTCTCGCTTTGAACAAACCTGGTAGATTGAGTTCCACCCCCGTGGCTACTCTGGGACACCAGGTAAGCTACAAAGTCACTCCAGAGAACTGTGTGCATTCTCTACGAAGTTCTGGGGGGAGGAAGGGAACATGCAGTATTAGAGTACAATTATCAAGGCTGTGACTGTATACATAGTCCAACAAAGTTTATAATTTAATCCTCAGGCACCAGCAGGTGCATTGGGAATTGAAGGCTGGCGGTTACTGTCCCCATCACCATTCAACAACCTCCTCTAGGTTGCCATGAGACACTGGGGTTATAGTCAGAGGTGCCAGGAAGCAAGGGGTAGAGACAAGTGCCACATGTACAAGCTGGGCTTGTTCTGGATCTTCTCTCCAGTGGCCCCAACAGTCCTGTGCTCAACTGGAGGGGAGACTCAGCCTCTCAGGATATATAGCAAGGAAGTCTACACTGGACTTGGCCCAGTCTGGACTGGAACTTCCATAAGATAAAAGTCAAGCCTGACTATTTTTAAGGGAGTGGGAAGTAAAACACTATCTCTCTATAATTTGTCCTTTATGTTATTCATTGATTCATCCATCCATCAAGCATTTATTGAGTACCTGATAGCACTGTACTAAGCTCTGGTGATACACAGATAAAAAAAATGGCAATCCCTGACCTCAAGGAGCTTATGTTCTCTTTTGGAGGGAGGCAGAGTGGAGATACATGAACACAGGGAAGTATATGGCCATCTTAGTGATGCCAACATCCTCAGCATAGCCAAGAACAACCACACACTAGCAGGGGATGCCTATCGGTTTGGGGAAGAAATCCTCCAGCTTCCTCCTCCTCTTCTTCAGACAGCCCCCTCGCTACTCCCCGCCATGTTTTGCCCTGCCCTTGGGGACTGGCGGAATGACTGACTTACAGGGTAACCCCTCCTAACCTTTGGACTTGTGGCAGAAGAGCCACTGGAAGCAGAAGCAAGAAGTCTAGGTACCATGGAAGTGGCTGAGAGGGTAGAATTATGGCCTCCAGCACTGGTGCCCTCGTGCTGCAAGCCCTCTGAAGCTGCCATGGTGATGATGCATCTACCTCCCCAAGCTTTCAGGGCTGGGGGATAGGAATGGCTAGTTCTGCTGGTCTCAGAGGCATGACAAAATTTCCCTGGGGTTAAATAGGGCAAGGGAGATGTCTGCCCTATACCAGCAGGTATCCACCTCTACCAGCATCCTCATCTCAAAAGGGCTGATCAGGACAGTTCTACATTGCTATAATGCAAGGTAGAGAGTGGTGGGGCAAAGGAGATCCAAACAATTGTCTTTAGGGAAAATCTGAGAAGGGAGAGAATATTTTCATCTGCTGGGGATGGGGGAGTGGTCAGGGAAAGCTCTCTGGAGGAGGTGGCATTTCAAAATAAAGATGAAGAGGGCATACACTATATATATGTACTTATATGTGTATGTATGTATGTATGTATATATGTGTGTGTGTATATCACTATGTATATATATACATATGTGTGTGTGTGTATATGTATATATGTATATATATAAAGATGAAGTGGGAGTACATTTCACATCTTCTCACATCTCACATATCCATGATAATGTTCCTCTGTCTGGAACTGGAATCAGGGCTAAGAAATGTCCCTTCCTCATCCCCAGCCCTTCTCCTCCAATGCATGCATACACACATTCAATTCTTGGTTTATCTTGTTTTCTCATCTTTTCTGTAGTTGTTAAATATGTGCATATGTGTGTGTGTGTGTGTGTGTGTTTTTAAAGGGACAGGGAAAATAAATATGTGTGTACATCTATATATAGATGTATATACACATATATACATATATGTGTATATGCATATATTCCATATAAGAAAGTATATACACGTATGTATTTATATATACACGTATATATTTATATATACACACATACATAAATGTGTGTATGTATATGTTCCATAAAGAAAGAGTATGTGTACATATATATGTATATGTATATACACATACCTAGTCTGTGTGTGTATGTATATTCACCTATATATGGACTAATAGATAAAAAACAAAGAGAGGAGAAGGAAAAGAAGGAATGTGATAAAAGAGGAAGGAGAAACTGAAAGAGATCAAAGAAAAGGGATTTGAGAGTAGTGTAGCCATTTATATGTCTCACTATTTCTTCCCATCATATTGTATTTTTTTAACCAGATTTCACAGAGACCTTTGATGGCTTTTCAATGCTAGTATTGAAGAGTTCTTGGGGCAGCTAGGTGATAGAGTGGATAGAGCACCAGCCCTAACATCAGGAGGACCTGACTTCAAATCCAGCCTCAGACCAAACACTTGACACTTACTAGCTGTGTGACCCTGGGCAAGTCACTTAACCCTAATTGCCAAAAAAAAAAAAAAAAGAAAGAAAGAAAAAGAAAAAGAAAGAAAAGTTCTCTATGTTGTTTTCTGCTTAGAGCATATGTTCTTACAACAAGAGTGAGATAAAATCAAATCAAAGTATCACAGATTTAGAGCTGGAAGGGACATTAAAACTCCCATGGATCAATTCCTTAATTTTATGGGAGAGGACACTAAGTCTAGGGGGTGAAATGACTACAGTCACAAGGACTAAGTAGTGGAACAGAAATTTGAAACAGAGAACTAGGAGCCAGAGTTTTTCCTTTGAAAGCACTTCAGAGTGCTGTTTACCGATGTAAGTCAGCATTATTTATTTATTATAGTGGTCTATACCACTCAGAGCATCTGGTAAAGTACTTTGCCTAGTACAGATGCTTAGGAGAAATATAAAAATAGCATGCAGAAAACAAATCATTTTTTGATTAATCCCAGCCGGATTCACTATGGGAGACGGTACGGTGATGCTCTAAAAACAGCCCTGCAGTCAGAGCCCATGAACAAAATTAGACCCCCTTATTCTACTTCCCAGGTAGGATTCAGATTTTACTCTCCTATCAAGGGTGTGTAGCCTAGGCCATCATCACAAACACTGAGAGCATGGCACACCACTAGCCCTAGAAATGATTGCCCTGTCCTGATACCAGGAGGAAAGGGGCCGCTTGAGAGAGAGGAGGAGTCAATGAACATCCCTGAAAGTGAACTTGGATGAAATATCTACACACACACACACACACACACACACACACACACACACACACACAC